ACACACACACACACACACACACACACACACACACACACACACACACACACACACACACACACAACACACACACACACACACACACACACACACACACACACACACACCACACACACACACACACACACACACACACACACACACACACACACACACACACACACACACACATACACACACACGCACACACATATAGATATATAGATATATATATGATAATGGAAGCTGGAGATGAAGGCAAATGCCATTACGACTAGAAAAGATACGAATACGGAGAAGAAGAGAGAGAAGGAATAGTAAGCAAAGCTGGATGGGATAAAGGAGGAAGAGGAAAAAGAAAGAAAGGAAAAAAGGTGAACTGGAAGAAAGGAAGTAGGAAAAATACGACGACGCCGACGACGACGAAGAAGAAAACTAAGGAGAACAAGAAGAAAAAAGACGTATAAGTAGAAGGCGACAAAGAAGAAGAAGAAGAAGAGGAGGAAGGAAGATAAGAAGACGAAGGAGAAGAAAAAACAAAGAAACAGAAGAAATCGGAAATCGAAGAGCCCAAAAAAGTCGAAAAAAGAAAATTACGAGAAGACAGAAAAAAGAAGAAAAAAACGAACAAAAATAATAATAATAATAAAAAAACAAGCATAATATCGACCGCAAAAACAGACGACCAAAACTCCAACACCGCTAGAAATGATAAACAAAAACTTTTTAACAATAAGCAGGAAATTAATTCTGATATATACACCATGGACGCGGCCTGTTACCATGGCAACGCAAAATGACAGCTTCGGAGACAGTAAGTTGGTACACGTTTGATAAGGTTTTCTACGGAGATTGGATGGCATTACAAACTGATTCTAGAACTGAAGAGAATTTATTAAAAAAGAGTTTGTTTATAGTTTCTTATTTCTTATAAAAGAATAATAAATAACGTCTTAAACTTAAGGTGGATTTCTTGTTTGTTTGTTTGTTTTTAATAAAAGATCTTAGGGTTTATGCTTTTTATATATATAATTTTGGGAGTTATCCTTTATATTGATTTCATTCCTTTCTATCTTCTATTTCCATTTATTTTTTTTCTTTTTCTTTTCATCTCAACTCTTCCTTTTCCCTATTTCATCTTCTTCCACTCTTTTTTATCTTTTCTCTTCCATTTTTTTGACATTCTCCCTATTCCTCTTCGTTCTCATTCTCTTCTCTTCTTTTCCCTCTTCCCTTTTTATACCTCTTCTTTTCCTTGTTGTTCTTCTCCCCCCTTACTCCATTTCTATCATCTTTCACTGTTTCTCTTATCATTTCGCTTTTACTTCATCTTATATCTCTTTCCTTCTTCTCTCCCATTCTTCCTTCCTTTCTCCTTCTTCTCGCCTCTCCTTTTCTTCTTTCGCCGCCCTCACCCATTTTCGGTTTCTTTTCTTCCCTCTCCTTCTCTCCACTTTCATTTTTCTTCCTTTCCGCTCCTTTCTTGCTTTCTTCTCCCTTCCTTGCCCTGTCTTTCTTCTCCATAATTTCCCTCACTCTCCTCTCTTTACCCCTTTCTCCTTCTTTCATTTTTCTCTTTTCCTTCCCTTCTTCTCCGTTTCTCCTTTTCTTCCTCCCACCCCTTTTTGGTCATTCTTCCTTTTCCCATCCTCTGTCTCCTTCTCCTTCTCCCTCTTCCCCTCCTTCTCTACTTCCCCCTTTTTCTTCTTCTCCACTTTCCCCTGCTACGTTTCTCCTTTTCTACCTTTCCCTCCTCTTCCCCTTCTTCTCCTTCTCTTTCTTCTCCCTTTCTTTACCTTCTCCCCTCCTCCCTTCTTCTCCCCTTCTTCCTTTCCTTCTTCTCCCCTTCCTTCCTTTCCTCTTCTCCCCTTTCCATCTTCTTCCTTCCTCTTCTTTTTCTCCTCTTCCCCTACTTTCCCTTCCTCCCCGTCTCCTCCTCCCTATCTTTTCCCCTTCCTCTTATTCTTCTTCTCCTCTTCCTCTTCTTCTTCTCCCCTTCGTCCCCTTCGTTCATCACAACCGACATTGTCTTAATATAATCGAAGCGGAAACATTTTTAAAACGTAAACAAACGTCGGTTTTGAAGTATGCCACAAGACCCTTGTCTTGGTAATTGGCGAGGAATTGAGAGAGGGAGGAGAGAGAGAGAGAGAGGGAGGAGGGGAGAGGGAGAGGGAGAGGGAGAGGGAGAGGGAGAGGGGAGGGGAGGGGGAGGGAGGGAGGGAGGGGAGGGAGAGGAGAGGAGAGGGAGAGGGAGAGGGAGAGGGAGAGGGAGAGGGAGAGGGAGAGGGAGAGGGGAGGGGAGGGGGAGGGGGAGAGGGAGAGGGAGAGGAGAGGAGAGATAGATAGATAGAGAAGAAGAGAGAGAGAGAGAGAGAGAGAGAGGAGAGAGAGAGAGAGAGAGACGAGAGAGAGAGAGAGAGAGAAAGAGAGAGAGTTTGAGAGAGAGAGAGAGAGTTTGAGAGAAAAAGAGAGACTGAGATTGAGATTGAGATTGAGAGAGAGAGAGAGAGAGAAAGAGAGAGAGAGAGGGAGAGAGAGAGAGAGAGAGAGAGAGAAAAGAGATAGATAGATAGATAGATAGAAGAGAGAGAGAGAGAGAGAGAGAGAGAGAGAGAGAGAGAGAGAGAGAGAGAGAGAGAGGAGAGAGAGAGAGAGAGAGAGAGAGATTGACTGAAGTTAGATCAAATAAAAGATACAAAAAGAAATCACGAAACAAGAAAAAAGACATAATTCTAAATATACAAACGATAAATAAAGATAAAACGATAAGAAAATAACACAAATTGGCAACCGAAACCGTAATTCTATTCACCCATGACGTCATCGTGTCACTAACCTCTCTATGCAACTAAAGGCGTAATGGGTGCAGTTTATCATGCGCGGGTGGTTCTTATCGACACCAGAGTTCATTAGTGTGAGGAAAAAAGCGTGATAATTTTGTATTTTTTTCTTTTGATGTACTGTTGCTATCATGGTGAATGTTATGATTATTATTATCATTGTTGTTATTATCATTATTATTATCATTATTATTATTATCATTATTATTATTATTATTATATTATTATTATTATTATTATTATTATCATTATTAACTATTATCATTATTATTATCACATGTCATTAGTATTATTATTACTATGTTTACTATCATTATGATCATTATTATTATTATTATCAACGGCACTGCAGTTGTTGCTGCTGCTGTTAGTAATGCTACTCTTACTATTAATACCAACAGTTTATACTGCGGGTCACGAGAAATTCTTAGCGTCCATTCGGCCAAAGTCGTGAAAATACATATTCCTAAATTCCGTACGACCCTCTCTCTCGCTAAACCTATTTCTTTAACAATTTGCAAAACAAATACCCGCTTTAGCATACCTCGCGCAACATGGCAGCGTATGTGCAACCGAAGTACTATTCATAATTCATCGCAGAGTCCATATCACGCAGTACGGTCATAGTAGTATATCACAACAAGAGCGGAGACACGGTGGACAAACACAAACCACGTTTTGGTGTGTTTGTGAGAAGCATAAGCGGGGAGGGGAGGGGGTAGGGGGAGAGGAGGGGGATGTGTAGCGGAGGAGGGAGAGAGGGAGAGGGGGGGCGTGTAGCGGGAGAGGGGAGAAGGGGAGAGGGGGGATGTAGCGGAGGGAGGGGAGGGGTGAGGGTGGACGTTTAGCGGAGGAGAAAAAGGGAAAGGGGGGGGGGCGTGTAGCGGAGAGGGGATGGGGAGACGGGATGGGGGGGGGGGTAATTAATGCCGCTTCTAACATTCTTTTATAATGAGTAAAACTTCATTAATAATGGTGATCAGAATAAAAAGTGTGGAGCATGAATATGATAATTTTAACAATACTAATGTTGATAAAATTAATGATTGTTAATGATAATAATAATGACAATGATGGTATCCATAGCATGAATAATACTAATTTACATGATAATCACAATGAAAAAAAAAAAACTACTACATCATCAATATGATTCCCCACTTAATTAATGGATGCACTCAAACAAAGTTTATATCGTACACTCATTACAGTTCGCATCAACTTCCCTGTAACTTCATTTCGACGCGGACACTCAACACACAGTCACTGTCATTGTCTCAGTGGAAGTCTGTCGTCATAATTATTCTAAAAAAGTGGTAAAGACAGTCACCATTGTTCATAATATTTAATATAATATAATCAGTGAACGAAAACACGTAGAAAGAAACGCAAAAAATATTAAAGAAAAAGAAACTGTATCTCAATGAATGACTGACATACGACGATCTGCTGACACTGTATGCCACGTGACACTTTACGTCGAAACGATTCACAACTTGTCTCCAAGAAACTTTGGGTTGTCAAATGTGAACCAAGGAGGCCGACCTAAAGGCTGGATTACTTGGAGAAAGTTCAGGGAAACTTGTGAATGACTTTCGCTGCTAAGACCAAAGAAGGGGGTTTCTAGTTGATCTATTTCTCTCTCTGTCTGTCTGTCTGTCTTTCTCCATTTCTCTTCTCTCTTCTCTCTCTCTCTCTCTCTCTCTCTCTCTCTCTCTCTCTCTCTCTCTCTATATATATATATATATATATATATATATATATATATATATATATATATATATATATATATATATATATATATATATATATATATTTATATATGTATGTCCACCTGTGTGTGTGTGTGCTTAAGCGCATGAATGTGGGAATGTGTGTGACTTAAAAATCATATAACATTTGGTATATTAAGATGTTTCGAGGCTCCATTCAAACTACTAACAAACGTTCAAAGAAAATGTGAATGATTCTGAAAAGAACGTTAAAGCGCCTTTAACTGCCAGTAGTATGATATAGGCCTATCAATCATTATTTTTGAACTAACCACAATTATTTAATCAGTAATAAAACAATTGCAATATGCTCCCCCCACATTCCAAAAAAGAAATAAAGAAAAAAAAAAAAACATAGAAATACATAAAATAAATTTTATTTACAACATTACTCTTTTCCCAACAGCTGGACGGCGCCAACCTCAAACCAACCCCGATAGAGCCTTTCGAACTTCCAGAACATTCTCGGCGTAAGTATTTTGTTTGTTTGTTTATTTATTGATATTATACAATTTTAAAAGTATTCCTTGTTAGAGCCAGATCGCGCTCTCTATTTGTGCATTAATTTGTTTCCTTTTTTCTATTGTGTCAACTCAATAGTTCGTTAATTTGTTTCATCAACCCTTTTAACTCTCGGATATACTTTTCACATTTCCAAACTTTGACGATTAATCCTTAAAAAAAGAAAAGAAAACTCAAACATCGTTGAAAACAAGTCGTAACCATAACACTGGCTAGTTCATCTATAAAGACGATGCACCGATATATTCAATAATATCACTGCTTTATCTGATTTTATCTTATTAGTACACATTCTAATCGTTACAGTATACGGAGTTACACATATCATAATTCTTGGAGTTTTGTCTTTTGCGTACGTGATTTTTTAGAAACAGATTTTCTTACTGCCATCTATCGGCCTGAAGGAAACTATCATAACAACAGCAGGGCAAAGCTTTCGGAGTTTCTCGTCTTCCATTCACAGTTTTTCGTAGATTTGTTATTGTTATTGTTCTGAACTAATATCACAAACGTGGTCTTTTGAGGTTCCATTCAAAAACTTTTGTCTTACTTTATCGTTCGTAGGTATTAACGCTTTCCTTACATTCAATTATTGTTTATTTCCTAGTGCTGTTGAATAAGTTATAGGCGAGCTTAGGTGCACTTGAAGATATTTCCAGCCGAGATACGAGCAGGAAGAGTGGTAGCGGCTTCGAAAAACTTCATTTCTAAACTTCTTTCGTGTGTGACCAGAACTCCTGAAGACTCTGTAGCTTGACCATGCAACATCATGAAATTGCATTTCAATACCCTTCATCTCTCTCTCTCTCTCTCTCTCTCTCTCTCTCTCTCTCTCTCTCTCTCTCTCTCTCTCTCTCACACACACACACACACACACACACACACACACACACACACACACACACACACACACACACACACACACACACACACACACACACACACACACACACCTTCCTTTAGTATATCAACCTGTATGACACTTGTGGTTCCAGATATACTACCGTAATGATAACCATGCACTTCTAAGAATGTTTATTTACAGAAACGGAATCAGAATATTATACGTATTTTATGAAAATATAAACAACATGCTATCATGTTTTACTCTTTGTTTACCATTAGTTTGGAATTACTTGAAGAATTGGCCTGAATTAACCTATATGACCTTTTTTAACCTATTCTATGTGAATTGTGACTTGCCTTTTCTTTCGACAGATTCCTATGATGAAAGAGAAGGACAATACGTGGACTTGGTGAGTGACATTATTATTTTTTAAAATGTTATTTTGTTGTTATTATTATTATTATTTATTTATTTATTAATTTTATTTTGTTGTTGTTTTATCATCATCATTATCATCATTATTATAAACATTAATATATTTTTTGTTATTAGTAATCCTAATTATTATCCGTATCATTGTTATTTTGTCATTGTTGCTGATACTTTTACTTGTTACTGTAGTTAACTATCTTTATTTATACATTGTTGTTCTCATAGTCATTACTACTATTATCATTATTTATTGTTTTATCATAATTTTGTCCTCATTATCATTATTATAATTTTTATAGGTATTATCATGATATTTATTTTTCTACGTTATTAGAGTTTTATAAATGTTGCACTGTTGATGATATTCAGGAATGATGATAATAATAGGAAAATATTGATAAATGTAGTCATGCTATTGATACAAACCCTATTGATTTCTGCTTTTGATTTGCCCGTTGAATTACATAATATCACCCCCCCCCGTGTTTCATGGGTATAACGTACACTACTTCTAGTCATCATAGAAAATTCTAGAACAATACTCTGTACACATAACTGTCAGAAACACTTGCTAAATTATGTGATGTTTTCATTCTTAAATACATTTCCTGTATTCTTTCTCTCATCTCGTCATCTACCTTTCTGAATCTCGTCTCCTCATAATTCTTCTTCGCCTCCCCATATTCTGTTTTTTTTCTTTATTTTCTCTTCCCCTTCCTTCTACTTCCATCATCATCCTCCTCCTCCTCCTCTACCTCTACCACCACCACCACCTTTTTTCCTCAAACTCCTTCTCCTCTCCTCCTTCTCCTTCTCCTTCTCCTTCTCTTCTTCTCTTCTCCTTCTCCTTCTCCTTCTCTCCTCCTCTCCTCCTCCTCCTCCTCCTCCTCTCTCCTCCATCTTCCTCCCACCCACTTCCACCTTCTCCTTCCCTGTCTCTTCTCCTCCTCCTTTCCCCCATCCACTTCCACCTTCTCCTTCCCTTTCTTTTTCTGCCATTGTCCAGAAACCATATTGACTCTGATTCTAACGAAGCCACAAGCGGTGTGAACAAGGACACATGGCTCTCAACATCGGTCGCGTTCGCTTTTTCCCTTTTCGGAGGTTTCTCTCTTTCGTCTTCCATTTTTATCTTTCTGTTTCTATTTCTTTTCTTCTGTTTTGATAGTTCTTGGATATATTAGGTGTGGTTTGTGGTGTTACGTGAGGAAGGTTTTGATGAGGAAAAAAGAGAAAGAGAAGAAAAGAAAAGAAAAAAGAACGACGGGTATACGATGTAAACAAACATGGCCGTCGTTAGTCTTTTGTTTTGTTTTGTTTTTTTTTTTCTCCAACAACTTTCCAGCGACTTTCTCCGTATATCTGTTATCATATAGGCATTATTTTCAGGTAATTCTATCTTCCTTCGTCTTATTTCTCTTTGTTTACTAAATTATTCCAAAGATTTCCCCGATGATATGGAGACATAGGAGACGAGAAATTTTGCAAGAGGGAGACGACATAATTGAACTTGTACATCGCGGACGGTTCGATTGCGAAAGACAGAGAAAGACAATCAAGTACACACACACACACACACACACACACACACACACACACACACACACACACACACACACACACACACACACACACACACACACACACACACACACACACACACACACACACACACACAACACACACACACCCATTAGATAAATAAAGAAACAATACATTTATAATATATATATATATTATATATATATATATATATATATATATATATATATATACTATGTAAATTGATAAATGAAGAGACAGAAAGGAAGATAGTAAATAATCACACAGATAGATATACAACCAGGGAAGGAATCGACACCTCGTACCCAGACGGAACAGGCCGACGTCCTGTGGAAGTGGAAGATACATGCAGATACTTCGATAAAGTTTTGCGTTTGGCGAAGAATCCCTTTTCCTCGCCCCCCCCCTTTCCCCCTCCCGCCTCACCTCGAGAAGTACAACGACGGACGGAAAAGAAGGAGACGCATCGTGTATGAAGATCCGAAAATTTAAAAAAGCATCGAAACCCTCTTCGAAACCTATAAACAACGCACTTCGCGTCCTCTTCGGGGATTCGAAACGGTCGGAATTCGAAAACTCGCTTCGACTCTTTTTTTTTCTTTCTTTCTTTCTTTCTCTTTTTTTTATGGTACTGCACCCTTTCGCTATTTCCGTGTGCCGTTATCGTCGTCGTCGTCGGTGTCGCCAGTTCGCAACGAGTGAGTTGAAACTTTGACGAGCTTGATGGACCACCGATACGCGACCCGGAAATCGATATGGTGTCAATAAGGAGCTATGCCATCTTTCCCACGGGCGCCAGGCTAGATAACGAAGACGTTCGGTAATAAAAAGAAAGAAAGAAAGAAAAAAAGACAACAACAGCGGATCCTGGAGTGTATTTGCGGGAGCTTCTCTTGAGGAGGTAGATTCTTGGATAAAGAAAAAAAAGGAAAATAAAATAAAAATACAGAAAATCTACGAATATCAACCGAATTATTACAAGAAAGAAAATAGACCTATGTATTTAAAATCGATGAATGGCCTTGACTCATCATTATACTTATCAGCATACAGAGGGTCGAATCACGGAAGAAAAAAAGGAAAAAAAAGAAGAAGAACAGCTTAAAGACGCAGTATCTCGACGTACGGGAAAATGTGCGCTCACTCGACCCCGCTCGCTCCTCGGGTCGTGTGCGTGAGGCTCTGCGTGTGCGTGTAAGTTGTCTTTCGTGTCCGTGAAGATCATTTCGTGTCCGTGCGTGTCCGTTCATTTCGTGTCCGTTTTATTTCGTGTGCGTGTTGTTGTTTTTTGCGTGTTTGAGGCCCCTTCTCGTGTGCGTGTAAGTTGCTTTCGTGTGCGTAGAGTTATTTTTCTTTTGCTTGTCTCCCTTTTCGTGTGCGTGAAAGCTTATCGTGTACTTAAGTTGCTTTCGTGTGCGTGAAGTTATTTTCCGCGTGCTTGAGGCCCTTTTCGTGTGCTTGAAGACCTTTTCGTATCCCTGAAGTATTTTTTATTATCTAATTTTCTTCATATCGTGTGTGCGTGAACTTCTCTTCGTCCGACTGAAGTTCTATTCATGTGCACGCGGAGGAGGCCACGTCTTGAGGGTCCTTGCGTGGGTGTGGAGACCTTTTTTTTTTGCGTGAGTTTGTGATGCAGCCGGAAGTTCGGGCGTGTCTTTTTTGCGGACACTGAATCGTCATTAATTAAGGGGCGGCATTAATTACATAGAGGATTCAGCGCGTGGAACAGACATTCGTTTTACAAGCAAGACGGACGGATGGTGGCTGCGATTTCTTGTTGGGAAGTTCGCGGGGTCTGATATAGTGTGATTGTGTGTTATTGTGGTTATTTTATTTTATTTTAATTTTTTATTGCGAATCTGATCTTTATTCCTGATATGAAAAAAAATTCTCTCTGCTTGTCTTCTTCTTGCATCTTCTGTTTCTTCGTTTTTTTATCGTTTTTTCCCACCCTTTCTTTTCTTCTCCTCCCTCCCTCCTCTCCTTCCTCCCTCCCCTCTTTCCTCTTCCTCCTCTCCTTCCTCCCTCTCCTCTTTTCGCATCTTCCTCTTTTCCACCTTCCCTTCCTCTCTTCCTCCTTCCCTTCTTTTCTCCCTCCTTCCCTTCCTCTCCCCTCCTTCTCTTCCTCCCTCCCTCCATTCCTTCCATCCTCAGCATCCATCCTTCCTCCTCCTCCTCCCTCTCCCCTTTAAACTACGCTTAAATGAAACCACAACCACAGCAGACAGAGAAAGTCAGCCATAACGCACATTCATAGACACTCAGTAGATAGGATTAGAGTAGATTGCGTCGCTCACGCCCTAGAAGTCGCAAGGGAGGAGAGGAAATGAGAGTCCTTAGAAGACGTCCTCGTCCGTTTTCCCCGACGTCCCCCCCCCCCAAGGACATCAGCTGGGATTTAAGGGTTGTTCTCGCGTCTCTTGAAGGAAAGGCAGGCGATCGTCCCCTCGATTCGAACGGGTTTGAAGGGAGGGACTTCGGGTGTGTTTTCGTTTTTCTGTTGTTTGGTTTATGTTGTCTTCGGGGTTTATTGAAAGGATTTTGTATATGTGGATATTCTTTCTGGGAAGTGCGTGGTATTTGTTTTTGTTTTCAGTAGTATGTATATTGTCTTCAGGCTTTTTATTAAAAGCTAGGCGATTGCACGGTGTAATCGAACACTAAGTGAGATAGACGTTTCACAATACATTATATTCTCTTAATTGGAGCTGCTTAGTATACTGTTTTTTTTTCTCGTTTTTGATGGCATTCGTAGCTTTTCTTCCCGGGTGATAGGAAAGAGAAAAGCGAATTGCCGTAATAAATGAGATATCGCCTCGAGGGAAAGGGAGAAGCCGGCGTGCCCTTTGGATGCGCAGTTCGCCAGACGCAGGCAAGCAAGTGCAGGCCGTTACTTGTTCAGGTAAATTAATTCCTGCTTTGTCTGTGTCGATGGTTATATCAACTGAGTATGTGCCCGGGTTGTCTAGATGACAGGGCCTAATGGGTAGTTTGGAAATGCAATATACGGTATGTACTTGCAACTGTGTTCCGGGCGGTGCGGTGCAGTTCACATTGTTCAGAGATATGAATAGTCTGTCTGTCAAGAGGTTGGGGGCGTCGGCGGCGGAGAAGCAAAGGTGCTGATTGAAGTGAAGTGCTTATCGTGCTGCGTTGGCAAGTGATAAGGAACACGTTTGCTTCTTTTCGACTGGCAGTGCGTCCTGGTGATAGCGAGGACACGTGTTCCGGCTCACAGAAGAGACATGGTTATATGAATGCCATGCGTAAGACGGAATATATTATTTTTAGAGTTTCCGGCTTACAGAATAGACAAAGTTATAGAAATTCATGCATAAGAGGATTACACTATATTGAGGGATATTTTTTCGATCATACAAGATCAACGTCTTGTTTGATTCTTCTTTGTTCTGAAGAGGAGGAGGATTGTCTTACGCGAAGTCATCATCTTTGGCTTCTCAGTGAAACTATGGCGTGTGTTGCATAGTGCCGAACACCAACCCCGAAACTCCAAGACTTTTCACTTATGAGTTATGAGTCTGGAAATGATACAGAAGTTTATTTATTTATTTACTTATTCATTTATTTACACAAGGCGCGACTGCATAAGGTGTTACCAGTACAAGGGAGATTGTTCGAGCATTACCATCAGTACAGCGGCTGGTTTTACGAAGAGAAACGCATGTATTCACTTACTACTTCGTATTTGAGTGCCACTGTATCCGGTACTGCCAGAATAATCCGAAGAAGAACCACATGAGCGCTAGTCATTTTACAACATATCTGAGGCGAAAACACGAGCAAAAAAGGCGACCCAGAGACCCCACATACTTGTCCAAAGAAGGGAACTGACCCCTGACCTTACCCTAGACCCCAACAGATCATCAGCTTGATCACACACATACATACACGCGCGCGCACACACACACACACACACACACACACACACACACACACACACACACACACACACACACACACACACACACACACACACACACACACACACACACACACACACACACACACACACACACACAACACACACACACACACACACAACACACACACAAACAAACAGACAAAGAAACCCAAGCCGTAGAGACAAGCCGTAGAGATCTTGACATGACGTAGAGGTGTTTTTTCTCTTTTTTCTAACGTCTTGATCTTCACTTCTCCTTCCAGCTCTCGGGACTCTTTTTATCGAAGGTGAGTGAGCGATCTCCTCGTCCCCCCCCCTACCCCCCCCCCCCCCCCCCCAACCCTTGTGTCACTGTGGACTCGCACTGTCTTCGTTTCTATTCGCTTTCGTTTTCTGTATCTCGTCTTTCTCCTTGCTTTCGGTTCCCTTTCGTTTCGTCCTGGTTGGTGTGTGTGTGTTTTTTTCTCACGATGTCTTTCTTTCGTTCCTTGTCTCTTCTCGTCTTTGTCTTTTTCTTTCCTATGGTCTCTCTCTCTCTCTCTCTCTCTCTCTCTCTCTCTCTCTCTCTCTCTCTCTCTCTCTCTCTCTCTCTCTCTCTCTCTCTCTCTCTCTCTCTCTCTCTCTCTCTCTCTCTCTCTGTCCCTCTCTTTTATCTCAGTTGTCATCACGACGCTGTGCTCTGTGATTATGCCAGACCTCTGACCTATGACCTCTGACCTCTCACCCATCTTCCCTAGGCACTGTCTCAGCTTCAGTGATACCGTACTCTCGCTAGACTGTCGCATACTTCCAAACACGCTTGTAGTTCTCGACGGAAAACAATTTCACAAAAACACACTCCATTCTGTCAACATTAGACTCTACGAATGTTGTGCACGTGTGTTTGTTAGACCTCTCGCCCTCCACCCCTCCCACCACCCCTACCCCGCCCCGCCCCCTTCCTGACAGAAAAGTTTTACTAAGCCTCTGCCAGTGCATGGGGCTTCTGGAGACAAATAGTGTTTACTTGTCTGAGGGCGAATGATAGATACCACAAAGGGAAGCCGCTAGAAAAGGAGTAGCTATCGATACTAGATGATACACCAAGTATAGTAATAGATTATTATATATTTTTCTTTGTTCTGAAGAATCCTTACAATATATATATATATATATATATATATATATGTATATATATATAACACGAATGCCAGGTTCGAAAGGATGGTCTTATTCTTGGTGCAAAGGAGAAATATCACGTAATGCATTGCAAAGACTCACAACGCCGAGTAAAAATGCAGACCATGCACCCAAAACACACCAGCAACGTCATCTGTAATGAATTGATTTTGTTGATTTAAAGATTTTTAAGTTCGAGTATTTTACAGAATGAAGTTAAATCAAACTTTTTCAGAAACTGAAGAAAATAGTGATGCAACCCCGATCTTCATTCTAAGATGCATTTGTATGATACACAAGACAGGGCGAAACAGATATTGGCGTATGGGCAATCTCCTCCAAAGAGGAGGAGGAAGGAGAAGAAGAAAATGAAGGAAATGAAGATGATGATGATGAAGAAGGAGTAGGAGAGGAGAGAAGAGAGAAGTAATTGAAGTACAAAAACAAAGAACAGAAGACAGAGAAGAGGTCGAAAGGAAAAAAAATGCTTTCCTCATCGCAGTCGCAACCTTTCGACCTCCTACGACATGAACATCCGGGACACGACTCAATGAAGTCCCTACCACAGAAGAATAATATACAGACGTCCAGACTTCCTTGTCGTCGTGATCTTTTCTGTTTTCTGTTCCCCAAAATCTGCATTTGATTCCTTTTTTTTAACTTTTTGAACTAAAAATCTGCATTTGACTATTTTATTTCTTCTTTTAACTTTCTGACTTCAAGAAATATATCACTTTAAAATTCGGCAATTTGTCCCTGCGATTGTCAATAGAGGTTCCGCCAAAAGGAGACGAATATTTGTTTCTCTTCTGGAAAACGTATGTGCGAAAAAAAGCTCTGTAAATAAACTTTATCCGCCGAAGGATCTATTGTCCTCGTCCAATATTTTCTTTCCTTTTGCTATTTGTCTTTCTGTCTCTCTCTTTCTCTTTCTCTCTCTTCTCTCTCTTTCTCTCTCTCTCTCTCTCTCTCTCTCTCTCTCTCTCTCTCTCTCTCTCTCTCTCTCTCTCTCTCTCTCTCTCTCTCTCTCTCTCTCTCTCTCTCTCTCTCTCTCTCTCTCTCCCTCTCTATCCTTTCCTTCTATTCCTTCCTTCTTTCCTGTCTTCCTCCTCCTCTCATACCCTCCTTCCCTCCTCTCACTCACTCACTTTCTCTCCCTATCTTCTCTTTCCCCTCCTTCTCTCCCTCCCCCACATCACTCTCTCCCCCCTCCCTCATCAACCCCCTCCCCCTTCCCCTCATCAACCCCTCCCCTTCCCCCTCCTTCATCACCCCCTCACCCGTCATCACCCCCTCTCCTTCCCCCCCTCCCCTTCCCCTCATCAACACCTCCCCCCTTCCCCTCATCATCCCCCTCACCCTTTCCCCTCATAACCTCCTTCCCTCTCCCCCTCACCACCCCCACCCCTTCCCTCCTCCCCCTCCCCCTCATCACCCCCCCCTTTCCCCTAATCTCCCCCCTTCCCTCCCCTTCCAACCCCCGCCTTCACCGTGCGCGCTCTCCCCCAGGAGGAGTGGGCGGAGGAGGTGGGAGGCAACGGCAAATGCGGCTGCAACCTGACGGCGCTGGTAAACCTCGTGAGCCTCCGCATCCCCAGAGGACCTCCAGGACCCCCGGGGAGAGATGGACGACCCAGCCCTCCAGGACTCTCTGTAAGTACTTGAAGGACTTCCTGGTGCGTCTTTTTCTTTGTTTATGTGTGAGAGAGAGAGAGAGAGAGAGAGAGAGAGAGAGAGGAGAGAGAAGAGAGAGAGAGAGAGAGAGAGAGAGAGACGAAAGAGAAGAGAGAGAGAAAGAAAAACGAGGAAAGAGAGAGAGAGAGAAGAGAAAGAGAGAGAGTGAGAGAGGAAAGAGAGAGAGAGAGAGAGAGAGAGAGAGAGAGAGAGAGAGAAGAGAGAAGAAAGAGAGAGAGACACAAAAGATCCTCCCCCTGACCCTCGTCTTCGTCCCCCAGGGCAACCCAGGACCCCAGGGCGAGCGAGGGCAGCCAGGGCGCCGAGGGGAGAAGGGCGAGCGAGGGGAAGTAGGATCTCCAGGCCCCGAAGGAATCCAAGGTTCCAAGGGGGACCCTGGGAAGGACGGCTTGATCGGACCCCCCGGCGCCCCAGGACCCGCCGGCCCCCCCGGACCCCCAGGGTGGATCAGAGGACACGGAGATTCAAGGACGGTGAGTTGCCTAATCTTTTTTTTCATAATTTTGGTGGTTATATTTTCATTTATATATTTTCAATGCATAGCTTTCTTTTTAATGGATTCTTATCATTATTGTCATTCTAGAAGAAGAAAAACGGAAATGTTATTTATATAATTTATTCTTATATTATCGAAGTGTAATGTATTTAGACTGTCGTCACTAATCTAAGCAGAAATTCTTTACTATTTGTGACTGCCGTTAATGTATTTATTATTTATTTGCTTATTTATTATTTAATTTTGAGGGGGTCATTTCAAGGCAATACGAGCGATTACTTTAGTTGCAGAGTCATTGCAGAATTACACCACTAGCTTAGGATTTTGTAGACCTTGTAATTGGGTTATGATTTTCATGAGTTTAAGAATCCATAAGGGATATAAGTTCTCGAATATTTTTTATTATTATTAATTCATTCGTCTTTTTTATCATTATTTCCCCTTCAAAAGACCTTCTAGTGGGCTACATAATGAAAGGGTATAACTGAACAATAGTTGAACATGGAGATAATAGGAGAGTTGTTGACCAAGTGTGTTTTAGGTATTTTAAGTATTTTAAGGCATTTTAAGCATTTTCTTTTTTTGTAAAATGGCACGTAGAGACCTTTGATCTGCTTAAAGAGTTGCTCAGAAGAAGATAAATAGATATTATAGAATACATTAGATTAGTAAATATAAAATAAAGAATTAAAGAATATACAGATAATTAGACAAACGAGGCACATCAAAGGTATCTCCGTGTTTGTGCAATGTGTGTGTTCTCTGTTCATTTATCCGTGTTCGTGTGTTTTGACCTCCTTTCTCCTTGGGTGCCATGTCCACCAGTCTGGTTGGGGATATCGCTCTGGCTACCAGGTAAGGCAACCTGACATCCTGCTCCCTCTAGGCGTTGGCACTCCTCACAGGTAGTGCCAAGCCAGCCACTCGTCTTACACACTCGACCCTCCCTCCTCCCCCTTTGGCACTCTTATGCTAGAAATAAATGCGAGAGTTTGGTGATATTGGGGGGATTTTTAGATGTTTTAAGATCCGTGTTATGTAAAGGAGTCTTAATTTTGGTTAGGTATGTGGCGTATTCTTAGGGTCAATAGGGTAGATTTGATCCTCTTTATAAAATATGTATCTGGGGAAGACATGGCACTCACAGTACAGTTACGCAATAACACAGGGTATATATCTGAAGCGTTTCGGTTAAATGAAACTTCGGCAGAAATACTTTTTTCCTGATGATTTAATCGTTGCGCTTCTGATATATCTCTTGCTTGTGTGAAGTCATATATATATATATATATATATATATATATATATATATATATATATATATATATATATATCTTGCTTGTGTGAAGTCAAAGACATATCTCTTGCTTGTGTGAAGTCAGAGATATATCTCTTGCTTCTGTGAAGTCAGAGATATAGCTCTTGCTTGTGTGAAGCTATAGATATATATCTTTTGCTTGTGTGAAGTCATTCATTCCCAGTCATATAAACTTAACAATCATACAAGGCGCACAAAACTTTTTACAAATATTCATGCACACCTCCAACAATATTATGATACAATCAGATACATAATTAGGACTTAATTGATAAGAATATAAAACCCGAAGGCGAGTGGCCACCTTGGTTTCTGATTGCATGACTTCGTATTCTTAATAGTAAGTAGCTTAAAGACATTTAAAACACTGTAGATTATTACGTAATCTATAAGCATGAGAAAGGTAGTAGTTCCCGGTACGTAGAATATATTTAATGAAGATAATGTTTTTCTTTCTTTCTTAATTTATCCAGTAGGAATTTAATGTATTTGAGATGGTTTGCTGACAAGTATTTATATTTATCCAAGTAGGGTTATTATTATTTTTAATGTGGATATGGCTTTTTCTCTCGATAGGCACTGAAGTAAAACCCTGTAGCTTCTTTGTATACCTTACAGGACTAGTTATTTAGCCTAACACCGGGGGAATTTACGGGACAATGAAGACATAATTCCCGTGAAATGATGATACAAAAAAAAAAAATCAATATATATCTACCTGACACCAACCTACCCCACCCCCCAAAAGAGAGAGAGAGAAAGAGAAATATCGATATATTTTTCTACTTATTCCCCAGTAAGAGAGAAAGTAGAAATATAATACCTTCCCATCTCCCAAAGGAAAGAAAAGTTGAAATATAATAGCCCCCCCCCTTTAAAAGAAGAGAGAGAAAAAAAATAGAAAAGACACCCATACAAATAAGAAAATAACTTCCTAATTCATCTAAAAGAAAACGGGTTTCCGTTTCTCTTCTCCACCCATATAACAAACAAACAAGCAAAACGGGTTTCACTCCTTTACCCCCACCCCCAAAAAAGGAGTTTCTTCCCCCCCCCCCCCAAAAAAAAAAGGGTTTCTTCGCCCCCTTAGTCACCTAGCCCCTAGCTGGCCGTGGCGCTGCGTGTAGGTGAGCCACGAGTCCGGTGAAGTGACGTTCTCTAACTTGGACTCAGCCGCAGGTGGAGGGCCTCGAGACCGACGTAATCTTCGGGGGGAACGCGGGCGAGCCGGGGCCCCCAGGAGCTCAGGGGCCGGCGGGCGACGTGGGCCCCCGAGGACCCCGCGGACACCAGGGCCAGAAGGGCGAGAGGGGCATGAAGGGGAGCAAAGGCCAGAAGGGAGAGGAGGTGAGTTGGAATGTCTCTTTTTTGTTAGTGTGTTAAGTTGTATTTTTTTTTTACTGTTTGTGTTGGATTTATTCAGCGTCTTCTTATTGTTGTTGTTTTTGTATTTGTTTTTCTATTTGTGTTGGATTTATTCGAGGTCTTCTTCATTAGGATTATTTTTATGCAGATTTGGAGGGTTATGTGCAAAATGATTACTGGATTTTGAATATGGATTGTGGAAAAACATATCTCACACATACACAATTAATATGCAATATAAGAGTAACTTGCAATATCCTGCACCAAACAACAGGGACCCCAAGGACCCGTAGGACGTCTGGGGGACAAGGGAACGCGAGGACCCCCTGGCGTTGATGGACTTCCAGGGACCCCAGGACACAAGGGCCAGAAAGGTTGGGAAAAAATTAAAAAGCAAAAAAAGAAGAAAGAAATAGAAACTTAAAACTTAGAAGGACAGCTTGTTTTCACTTCCTTTTTAATTATCCCAGTTATACGAGTGTCCTTAGTTGACAATGAGCTTCTTCAAGACGTAGAATTCTTTTATACGATGACCCTTTCAAGAAACCGAGGCATGTGTTTTTAATGACCCCTTCAGGAATGCAAAGTATATGATTAACCTTTTTTTCCTTCTCTCTCTCTTTTTCGTTTTCTTTTCTTTTTTCTCTCCCTCTCTCTTGTACGCCCCCCCTCTCTCCTTTTCTCTTTCTCTCTCCCTCTCGCTCTTGTACGTCCCCCCCTCTCTCTCTCTCTCTCTCTCTCTCTATCTCTCTCTTGTACGTTTTCTCTTCTCTCTCACTCTCTCTCCTTTTCTTTCTCTCTCTTAATTTTATGTATCTTCATTTTCTCTCTTTTTTATTTTTTATCTATTTACTATTTTTTTTACAACGACCTCCCTCTTCAGGAGACCATGGACCCCCCGGCATAGGACGCAAAGGACCCCCAGGAGTCCCAGGAGAGAAAGGAAGTCCATTCTACTCAACGGAATACGTGAGGAACATCGTGCTGACGTCCCTGCAGCAATACGTGGACATCAACCCAGCCAACAGAGAAAACCTGCGAGAGAGTGAGTGTTTGGATGGACATACCTGCCACCGTAGACATGCCACAGAGAAAACCTGCCGAGGGATAAAAGGAGGGGAAGTAGAAGAGGAAGGGAGGAGAGGAATACGTAGACATCAACCCAGCCAACAGAGAAAACCTGCGAGAGAGTGAGTGTTTGGATGGAGGTGGAAGGGGGGAGGGAGGGATAAAGGAGGGAGGGAAGTAGAAGAGGAAGGGAGGAGAAGGAATACGTAGACATCAACCCAGCCAACAGAGAAAACCTGCGAGAGAGTGAGTGTTTGGATGAAGGTGGAAGGGGGAGGAGGGATAAAGGAGGGAGGAGGAAGTAGAAGAGGAAGGGAGAGAAGGAATACGTAGACATCAACCCAGCCACAGAGAAACCTGCGAGAGAGAAGAGTGTTTGGATGAGGTGGAAGGGGGGAGGGAGGAGGGAAGGGGAAAGAAGAGAGGGAGGAAGGAGAGAGGAGGAAGGAGGAAGGAGGGGAAAGGAAGGAGGAGGAAGAAGAGAGAAAGGGAGAGAGAAGGAGAGAGAGGAGAAAGGGGAAGGCCAGGACGAAGGAAGGAAAGGGAAAGGAAGGACGTGAGGGAAGAAGGAAGAGAGAGAGAAGGGGGGGAGAAAGGAATGAGGATAGAGGTTAAGGGGAAGAGGAGGAAAGAAGGGGGAATTGAGGAGGATAGAGGGAGAAAATGTAGAAAGGGAGACAAGGAAGAAGGAGAGAAGAATGTTCGCGGGTGAGAGCAGAAGTATAAAAAAGGAAAGAGGTAGGAACGAAGAGAGAAAAAGGAGGGAGATAAGATAAGTAGATAAGCAAATAGCTTAGAGGGACATCGCGCTGACGTCTTTCACTGACATCAAACAAGGCAAGCAGACCCAGAGGGAGAAAAAGTTAGTTCTTACGTGGAAGAGAAAGGAAAGAGAGTGAAGGTGGGAGAAAGGGAACGAAAAAGGGGAGAGAGAGAAGAGGAAGGTGGGAGAGAGAAGAGAGAAGTTGGGAGAAGTAGAAAACAGGGAAGAAGATTGAGGAGAGGGGAGGAAGGACCAGATATGGGTTGGTGATAGATGTCCAGATAGACAGAAATACAAATAGAAAGATAAAAGAAAGGCAGGGAGAGAGAAACGCATAGAAAACATGACAATGATAATGGTAGCAAGAAGGATAATAACAACAGTAATAATGACAATAATGGTAACAGTAGCAATGATAATAATAATAGAAATAGCAGTAGTAATGATAATAATGACTAATAATGGCAATAGGAATCGTAGTAGTGATGATGACGATAAAAGTAATAATGACAATAATGATTGTAGAAGTAATGATAACAAAAGTAGTAATAACAATAGTGATAATAATAATAATGGTGATAACAATAAGATCAATAATGGTAGTAGTAAAAATTATGATAACAATAATAATGACAATTGTAATAATAATAATAGCAGTAGCAATAACAGTAATAGTAATACTTGTAATAATAATAATAACATTAATAAAGCTAATACTCATCAAAGGAAACATCGCAAAGTCGGCATCCTCACTCCCCCCCCCCCCTTTACCCTGCAGTCGCCGAGCGCATCGAAGTGATCCTCCCGAAGGGCAAGGACGGCATCCCCGGGGCGCCAGGACCCAGAGGACCTAAGGGCGAGGAGGGACGTATAGGACCCGTCGGACCCCCAGGACACCCCGGCCACCCAGGACCTATTGTAAGAGGGGGGAGGGGGGAGAGGGATGGACTGGTTGAGACACTGGAGTATAATGTTGTGGTTATGTTGGTTTTGTTTGGTTTTATATGTATATTGGGTGTAAGTGTGCGGGGACGTGTGCAGTATGTGTGTGTATAAGTGTATACTCGTACATGCACACACACACGCACGCACGCACGCACTTGTATACTTCGTGTCCGCGTCTGTAAAAACCCACTAACATTTGATGTTAAACCATCACTTGCCTTCTTCCTTTTCCTTTCCTTTATTCCCATCTTCCTCTGTTTTTTTCTTGTCTTCTTTTCTGTTCTTTGCCTTCTTCCTTCTCTTTTCTTCCCTATATCGTCTCCCCCCCTTCCTTCTCCTCCTACTCTCCGTCCTTCCTGTTCTTCCTTTTCTTCCTCCCCTTCCCTTTCCCCTGCCTTTTCTCCCCCCCCCTTCCACATCCTCACTGTCTATCTCCCTCTCCTCTTCTCCTCTCCCCTCTCCTCCCTTCTTCTCAATTTCCTTCCCTTTCCCCCTCTTTCATATCCCTTTTCCCCCTCCCTTCTCCTCTCCCCTTCCTTGCTCTTCCCCTCTTTCTACCCTTTTGCCCTCCCCTTCTTTCCTTTTCCTCCTACCCCTTTCACCCTCTTTCTTACCCCCTTCTTCCCTCCCCCTTCCCTTCTCCTCCTCCCCCTTCCTTCCTTTTCCCCCTCTTTCTTACCCCTTTTGTCCCTCCCCTTCCTTCCTTTTCCTCCTCTTTCTTACCCCTTTTCCCCCTTCCTCCTCCTCCTCCCCCAGGGCGAATCAGGAGAAGACGGCCCCGCAGGACCCCGAGGCAATCCAGGACCCAAGGGAGAACCCGGATCGCCAGGACCTGTTATCCTGAGCAACGGAACTGTTATCGAAGTCAAGGTGAGGAGAATTCCCGTTGGATCGGCTAAGAAATAAGGGATTTCCGTAGGATCGGATAATAAGATAAGGGATTCCCGTTGGATTGGATTAAAAAAGGATTCCCGTTGGATTGGATAAAAATGGATTCCGTTAGATGGATAAAAAGGATTCCCGTTGGATTGGATTTCCAGGATTCCCGTTGGATTGGATGAAAAATAAGGGATTCTCCTTGGATTGGATTTAAATAAATAGGGGATTCCCATTGAATTGGGTGAAAAGATAAGGGATTCCCGTTGGACTGAATAAATAAAACTAAGGAATTTCCGTTGGATTAGGTAAAAAATAAGGGATTCACGTTGATTTGAAGAGAGGAGGAGAAACGAATAAAAGTGATTCATATTAAAAAAAAAATCTATGACTCATTCATATTCATTCATTTATCTTCCCCTTATCCACCCTTCCCCCTCACCCCCTATCCCTCCCCCAGGGTCAGAAGGGAGACCGCGGTATGGACGGACAAGCGGGCAAGCGGGGGTCCCCTGGGCTTCCTGGACCCCCTGGCCTCCCCGGACCCCCAGGGCACCAGCTGGCGACAGGTAAGGGGCCTCGTTAGTGCTTAATTGTCTTGATAGTAGAGGTAGTTAGTCATGTTCTTTGTAGCGTATAGAAGTAGGTTTTATTTGTTTATTTTTTGTTTATTTATCTATTTTTAGTGGGTGTCTAATTGCCTTGTTAGGAGGAGTAGGTAGGGTGATTGTTAGTAGCGTTAAGTAGTGGTTTCTAGCATTATTAGGAGTAGTTAGTAATGTTAGTAGTGTATATTAGTGGTTTGTAACATCATTAGAAGTAGTTGGTAATGTTGTTTGTAGTGTATAGTAGTGGTTAGTAGTATTGTTATGGTCATTATCTGCAGCGCTTAATTACCTTGCTAGGAGGAGGTAGTAATAATTTTTAGTAGTGTATTGTAGTAGTTTAGTAGTTTCTAGTATTGTTATGTTAGCTGCATCGTTGATAGTATTAGTTGTTAGCAATAATGTCATTAGCATTGTTGATACTAGTCGTTATAGTGCTGCTAGAGTATTTAACTGTAGTCTTTGTGGCACTGTTAGAAGCAAAGATTAGTAAAATTGTTAGTAGTGTTGTTAGCACTAGTGGTTAGTAATGTTGTACTGAACTGCATTACTGGTTAGTTGTTCAACAGTACCAGCACCAGCTATTGATATTATAACACGTGCTATTGCATTTCCAATAACAATATCAACATTTACAACAAATAAGTAATGGAAATTACTACAATAACAAACAGTGCCAACAACTACAATAACGAACACCTACAACAACCACGATCCACTATTGTATTTACAACAACTACAACTTTCAGGACCCTTCGACTCAGCACGTGACACGACCTATAACTATGACGTCACAGGAATCAAGGGAGATAAGGGAGAGCGAGGACCCCCCGGCCCCCCTGGTCCCCCCGGCCCCGGCGTTGGAGGGATGGGCAGGGGAGCCACCTACAGCTATGGTGGCGTCTATGGTGTTGTGGTGAGTTGGGGAGTGGTGGTGTGAGGTGAGGGCGATGGTGGTGTGAAGGTGTTGTGGTGAGTTGGGGCGGTATGGTGAGGTGAGAGATGGTGGGTGATGGCGTATATGTGTTGTGGTGAGGTGAGAGCGATGGCGGTGATGGTGTGGTTGTGAGGGCGATGGTGGGTGGTGATGGATGATGGTGGTTGGTGTAGGTGTTAGAGTGTGGTGGGTGAGGTGTTACAGTGACTGGTGATTGGGTATTGGTGATGATGTCTATGGTGTTGTGGGAAAGTGGGGGCAGTGGATTGTAAGGTGCAATAGGGAATAGTGAAAGGAGGATACATAGTGATTTATGGTGTGGTGGTGAGAGGTGATTGTGACTGGTGAGTGGTTGTTGATGGTGATGATTATGGTGTTGTGGTGAGATGGCAATGGTAGTTGGTGATGATGCTATAGTGTGGTGGATAAGCCCTTATAGTGAGTAGTGAGTGAGTGTTGATGGTGATTCTTATGGTGTCATGAGTATATAGTGATGATAATGTGGTGAGAGGTGCTTGTAACTTTTGAATGAAAATTGATCCTTTATAGTGCAGTGGTGAGATTAACTAACTTATGATTATAAACTGTTCTGCTTGTTTTGTGGTGATAAGTACATGGTGTCTATGTATGGTGTCCTGGTGAGATAAACCGACTGGTAATTGATATGGTAACTTTATGGTGAATGAGACATTACCTAATTATTATTCTGAACGTTTTGAAATAATTACTTTATCTTCTGTTGTTGATTTCATTTCTTTTCTCTCCTCCCTTCCTTATACTTCCTAATTTTCTGACATTCCTTATTCTTTTATTATTTTTCCTCCTTTATTTTGCTTATCGGGTTGACTCGGTTTTTTCTCACTTACTTTCATCTCTCCTCCCTTCCACCTTCTTTTTTTCTTACCTTTCATTCCTCCTTCCTTCATTTTTTTCTCACCTTTCCATCTTCTTTCTCTTTCTCAACCAATCATCCACCTTCTTTACTTCCTTCTTTCGCCCTCTTACCATTCCTTCCTCTCCCTACCCCTCTCCCCTCTCCCTCTTCTCCCAACCAACCACTCTCCTTCTCTTCCCCGCTCCTCTCCCTGTCATCCCACCTACCCACCTCCTCTTCCCCCCTCCCCTTCCCCTCTCTCCTCTTCCCTCTCTCCCCCTCCCTCCTTCCGCCCTCTCTCCCTCCCCTCTCCCTTCCTCCACCCTCTTTCTCTCCTCTCGCCCTCTCTCTCCTCCCCCACCCCAGGCCCGCCCACGCCCACGCCCAGGCCAGAGCCGCTTCGACCTCGAAGAAACATGGGCGGCTCCTCTTCCATGGGACCCCCCGGCCCCCCTGGACCCCCGGACCACCAGGACCCCCCGGACCCGCAGGACCCGAGGGACCCCCGGCCCCCCGGCATCACCCGACGGCGGGAGAAGAGGAGTACATCCCGTGCGCCCATCGGCCCCCGTGAGTAGCCTACGCAGATTCTGCAAAATCAAAATCAATCAGAATGCTTTATTCCAGTTCCTAATTCTATCTATAGGCCTAGCCAGATTCTAACTCTAAATCTAACTCAAAATCAAAATCAATCAGAATGCTTTATTCCAGTTCCTAATTCTGTCTATAGGCCTAGCAGCTCAAAATCAAAATCAATCAGAATGCTTATTCCAGTTCCTAATTCTGTCTATAGGCTAGCAGATTCTAACTAATTCTAACTCAAAATCAAAATCAATCAGAATGCTTTATTCCAGTTCCTAATTCTGTCTATAGGCCTAGGCAGATTCTAACTAATTCTAACTCAAATCAAAAATCAATCAGAATGCTTTATTCCAGTCCTAATTCTGTCTATAGGCCTACGCAGATTCTTTCTAACTCAAAATCAATCAGAATGCTGTATTCCAGTTCCCAGTTCCCCAAAAGGCTTTATTCCAGTTCCCAGTTCTCTGTCTCTCTATCGGCCTCGGGAACTCCTAACTCTAATTCTAACTCAAAATTAAAATCCATAATTTTTTTTATTCCGGTTCTCAGTTCTCTCTATCGGTCTAGAGAAAATCTGACTCTAGTTTAAATCAGAATATATTAAAATGTTTAACTCTAGTTCCCAGTTTTCTCTATCGGCCTAGGGAAATTCTAGCTCTAATTCTATCTCAAAAATCAAAATGCTTTACTCCGGTTCTCAGTTCTCAGTTCTATCTATTGGCCTAGAGAAAATCTGACTCTAATTCTAAATCAGAATCAGTTAAAATGCTTTACTCCAGTCCCCAGTTCTCTCCATCGGCCTAAGGAAATTCTAACTCTAATTCTACCTCAAAATCCATCAAAATGCTTTATTCCGGTTCCTAATTTTATCTATAGGCCAAGGGAGTAATTATGCATTTTTTTTTATCATATTGTATTATTAAAGTTACTGATTAGATTGCTTAGTATGAATACGAATTAATATGAACATTATAGATGTAATGTAAATAATGAATTTGATTAATGTATATGATAATTGTAGTCGATATGAATATTGAATGAATGTATTGTATAAATTCATTTGTAAAGGAACGTTAGGTACGAGAGACTCTTGTTTGGCAGTCTATGAATTTATTAAACGAGGGATCCTGCGTGTAAGAAAAGGGATAAGCCAAGCACGTAAATCATTTTCGGTTCATTTTTAATCAATTCTTTATTCATTTATATTTCCTAACAGGTCTTTTTCTTTATCTCTCTGTGTTACTTATTCCTTCTCATTCGCGATTTTCTTCACAGGGTCCACGTGGTCCTCCCGGAATACCAGGATCCCCGGCTTTCCTCCCCAAGAAATACAACTTTGGTAAGCGTGGGTCAGCGCCGGCGAGAGGGAGGGGAAGGGAGAGAGGGAGGTGGGTGGGGAGGGAGGGAGGTAGGAGGGAAAAGGAGAGGGGGAGGTGGAGGAGGAAGGAGAGAGGGAGGTGGGTGGAGGAGGGAAGGAGTGGGAAGGAGAGAAGGGATAGGAGGGAGGGGAGGGAGGTAGGAGGAGGAGGAAGAGAGAAGTAGGTAGGAGGGAGGAGAGAGGAGGAGAAGAGAGAAGGGTAGGAGGTGGAGAAGGGAGAAAGGGAGATAGGAAGGGGAAGGAGAGAGGGAGGTAGTAGGGGAAAGGAGAGAGAGAGGTGGATGAAGTGGGAAGAAGGTGGTGAAGGGAGAGAGGGAGGTATGAGCGGGAAGGGAGAGAGAGGTGGGGGGGAGGGAGGAAGGAGGTGGAGAAGGGAGAGAGAGGATAGGAGGTAAAAGGGGAGGGAGGTAGGAGGGAAAGAAGGGAAGATGGAGAAGGAGAGAGGGAGGTAGGAAGGAAGGGAAGGAGAGAGGGAGGTAGGAGGGGAAAGGAGAGAGATAGGTGTGAAGAGGAGAGAGGAAATGTGGAAGGGACACACACACACACACACACACACACACACACACACACACACAACACACACACACACACACACACAACACACACACACACACACACACACAACACACACACACACACACACACACACACACACACACGAAAACACAAACACACTCACAAACACCATACGAAACCACTCACTTCCTGTAATGTCATCCTTGAAAAAAGTGATGCGATAGAAGCCATCAATCTGCACTACGTAAGCTTGCAAACTCAGCACATCAAGAAGCTAGGTTGCATCAGCATAATTATTGATAGATTGTAAGATTAGTTCCATGACGGCAAAAACATTAGCGCGTGTGAAGATTTACTTGTGTCTGTTTGTGTATCTGTCTGTGTCCTTTTGTCCTGTTTGTCAGTCGATCTGTCTGAGTATCAGTCTGTCTCTATCTACTTATCTATCTGTCTACCAGTTTATGTGTGGCTATCTATTTATATCTAAAGTCATTTGTTCATGTTTTTGTCTTTCTTTCGGTTATCTCTCTCTCTCTCTCTCTCTCTCTGTCTCTCTCTCTCTTCTCTCTCTCTTCTCTCTCTCTCTCTCTCTCTCTCTCTCTGTCTGTCTGTCTCTGTCTGTCTTCTCTCTCTCTTCTCTCTCTCTCTCTCTCTCTCTCTCTCTCTTCTCTCTCTTCTCTCTCTCTCTCTCTCTCTCTCTCTCTCTCTCTCTCTCTCTCCCTTCTCTCTCTCTCTCTCTCTCAATTTATCTATCTTTCTCTCTATCTCTGTCTACCTACCTATCTATCTATCTAAATTTCTCAATTTATCTATCTATATGTCTCTATCTCTGTGTCTATTTATCTATTTATCTACAACTCAATATTCTGGTATTTTTAGACTAAACAGTTTAACGAATGAATAAATTTTCTCTCCCTCCAGGATCGCCATTGCCTCACGACACAATGTTCGATTCCTTCCCACCGACTTCGAACGTTGGCATGGGCATTAATTCTGCTTCAATTCTCCGATTCACTTCTCGCACTTCTATGCTTCAGGTAAGGAAGAGTTAGCTGATCTGTTTTATTTGATTTTTATTATTTTGAGCATTGAGAAATATGGAAATAAGTACGTAACGTCCGTGGCAAGTCGAAAACGATGTTCTGAACATCTTGATGGTCTTACTCATGGCATTGTTGTTGTTGTTATTCTTTCTATCCTCTTCTTCGCTTCTTCCCTCTATTCAATCCTTCCCACCCCTACTTACTTCCCTTTTCTCACTCTCTTTGCCATACCTGCTCCTTCTATCCCCTTTCTCTCTTTCTCTTTCTCTCTATTCCTTCCTTCCTCCCTCCCTCCTCCCTTCCTCTCTCCCTCTTTCCCCCTCCTCCCTCTCCTTCTCTCCCCCTTCCCCCACTCCTCTCCCCCACCCCTTCCTTCATCCCTTCCTCTTTCCCCTTTCCACTCCTCCCCCCCCTCACCACACCTCCCAACCCCCCTTCACTCACTCTCCCCGCCCATGCTTTCCAGGAGTGGGCGTACCACACCCCTGGCGCCCTCGCCTACGTTCTGGACGACGACTCCCTGTTCCTACGGGCGGCTCGCGGATGGAGGGAAGTTGCTGTACGTATCGTGGGCGTGGGAATCTGCTGATGTCTATTTTTTCTATTGTGTTTTTTGTTATAAATGCTTAGTTTCAATAGACAGAGATAGATATATGAATAGAAATAGATAAATATTTACGTAGGTGATGTAGGCCTATAGATATGTATACATTTGTGTAAGATGATGAATAGATAGATATATAAGAAGAGAGAGAGAGAGAGAGAGAGAGAGAGAGAGAGAGAGAGAGAGAGAGAGAGAGAGAGAGAGAGAGAGAGAAAATATAACAAATAGCAAACAAACAAACAAACTGACAAAGACAAAACATTACAAACAGTTTAAAATCCATCTTCAAAAACTCTCACTCCCATTTTTTCTCTTTCCTTTTTATAGTTTGGAGAGATGCTAACGCCCCAGATCGCCAACACGCCCCTACGCCCGACGCCCACGCCCATGAATCCGAACGTTGAGACACTGCCCGAAGAGCTGGCGACTGACCTCAGCACCGGCAGAGCGTGGGTGAGTAGGGGGAAGGGAGAGGGGGAGGGAGATGGGGGGAAGGGAGAGGGGAGAGGGAGAGGGAGGGGGGAGGAAGGGTGAGGGGAGGGAAATGGGGAAGGGTGAGGGGAGGGAGATGGGGAGAAGGGAGAGGGCGAGGGATATAGGGGGGGAGAGGGGGGAGGAAGGGTGAGGGGAGGGAAATGGGGGAAGGGTGAGGGAGGGAGATGGGGAGAAGGGAGAGGGCGAGGGATATAGGGGGGGAGAGGGGGGTTGGAGTGGGGGTCGAGTAGGGGGTGGGGGTGATGGGGGGGAAAGGTGGGTTGGAGTGAGGGTAAGGTAGGTGGTTGGGGGTGATGGATTGGTGAAGATGGGTGGGTAGAGAGAGAGAGAGAGAGAGAGAGAGAGAGAGAGAGAGAGAGAGAGAGCGAGCAACAGAAATATTCAAGCACACAGACAGACAAAAACACAGACAACATATACTAGCTAAGACAAGAGTAAGAGAATAAGAAATAAAGAAATAGATAACTCAAGACGTTGATTGGAGGATTAGGGTAATACGAAGGACAGGAATGGAAGACGGAAAAGGGTAATAGAGTGATAAATGAGCAATAAAGACCTAGATTAGTTATACATTAGGCACGCACACACGCATACATACGTACATGGACATCTTCACATACAAACACACACACACACACGCATACAGACGTACATGTACATATTCACATACAAACAAACACACACACACGCATACAAACATACATGTACATATTCACACTCACTCACTCACTCACTCACAATTTTATATACTGATATAAAAAAGTCGGCAATTATTTTTCGTTCTCAAAAAATCTACATACTATGAAAAAAAACAATTCTTCAAAGTACTTTATTTATTTTATTTATCTGTTTATTTATCCGTTAATTTATTCACAGAGGGGAGAGCCGATGACGACAGACGTGGAGGTAAGGGTTGATATGATATGATATATTTATAAATACATTCAAAATTTCTACTTATTTACTTATACTCCGCCCATTCTCAGAAAAGGACAAATTGGCAACTCACCTGGATTTTGAAGGAGTCCGATTCGTCAGATGTAATTTCACAAGAAAAATAATAAAGTGATAAAGGTAGCATATTCAAGGAAAGGCGATTCAAATGAAGTATAAAAATTGTGCATGAGAATTAAGAACGACAACATGTATGTAAAACCAAGTAGGAAGTGTCAGTTGTGAAAAAAAAAAAATTGTCGAATCGCAGTGCTTCAGCGTTTGGAGGTGAGTGAGTTGCCAGTTGTTCCTTTTCAGAGATTAAAACGCACTAAAACTGTTTACTCATCTGCTCACCCTCTGGTATCTTCATTTGCTTCTTTATCTTGTTTCTCTGTCTTTTCATTCCCCCTTTTCCGGATTTTCACATGTATTTTCTACTTTTTTAATTCTTCATATCTATCATCTACTGCGTGTCTACTTTCCTTCCGCTAATATATCGCTTAGTCGCGTATCTAGTTAAATTTGTGTATCAGCTGGAACAAAATATTTAAGCTTGTGGGGCACCGCAGTTATTTACATATGTGTGTGTGTTTCGTCTTTTTAAAGTAGAACGCTTGGAGCAGTTGTTACGTAAATTGCTAATGAGTACACGTTAGACTAGGCTGGTAATGTATATAGATTTTTATTAATATATAGAACTGTTAATTTATTATCATTACTACTACTACTACTATTATTATTATTATTATTATTATTAACAACATAATTGCTTCTCGTCAATCTTCAGCTAAAACGTAGTCAGATTTCCGTTTTCTTTAACCTGTCCAATGCTTGTGAGATTAATTTTTGTGTAATTTTCTGTATTTTATTTCGCAGGACAACGAATGGAATACGATGGAGGTAAGAGATAAATAAACAAAGAAAAGGAGAGAAAATTTAAGCGAAATTTTCTTTGTCTTTCGCCTTGTGTGTGCTATGTTTGTTTGTGTGTTTTGTTTTGTTTTTGTTTTGTCAGTTTATAATTTTGCATGCTAGGGATTCGTGGTGAATGTCTCTCAATATAAATTTATCGTTATTCTTTCTTTCAGTCGCCTTCCGTTTGACATTTTCCTCTTCCTCTTACTATCTTTTTTATCGATTTCCCTCTGTCTCTCTTTCACACTTTCGTTTTTAACAGTATATTCTCGCATCTTTGTATTTTCCTCTCTTATCGTATCGTCCACTCCCACTTCGTTCATTTTTGTTCTTCCATTCTCTATATCTCTCTCTCTCTCTCTCTCTTCTCATCTCTCTATATACGCCCTCCTCTCCTCTCTCCTCTCTCTCTCCCTTCTCTCTCTCTCTCTCTCTCTCTCTCTCTCTCTCTCTCCCTCTCTCCTCTGCTCTCTCTCTCCCTCCTCTCTCTCTCCCTCCTTACCTCTTCCACATCTCTCCCTTCCCTCTTTCCCATCCCCCTCCTCTCCCTCCCTCCTTTCCTTCCTCCCTCCTTCTCCCTCCCTCTCAAGCCTCCCTCCCTCTCAGGCCTCCACACCGTTCTCACGCCCACCCTCCTCCCTCCGCAGCTCCGCCTAGCCGCCCTCAACGAACCCTGGCAAGGTAGTTTCCACGACGTAGCCTCTCCGGACTACACGTGCTATCGGCAGGCCAGGAGTGCCGGCCTACGTGGCACTTTCAGGTGAGACAGGCTGGTTCGGTTCTCATATGTTGGGTTATGTTGTTTTTGTTTCTTGTTTATATGTTTATTTATTTATATGTTTGTTTGCTAGGTGGTTTGTTTATTTGGTGGGGTAAGGAGAAGAAGAGGAGGTGGGGAAATACGATTGGAAAAACAAAAAGAAAGATAAAAAACAAATAAACAACAAGAAATCAACGGTAATAACAGCAATCGCAAAACAACTAACCTCCCACACATAAAATGAATAAATAGATGAATAGATGATAAACCAGAAATAAGAATTTTTTGATGCCGTTGCCCTTGTTTCACCTGTCTGAATCGTATTGTGAAATCCGGAATGATAAGAATGTCATCTTATCATTACACAGGTACAGATAACCAGTACTCCCCGCCCCGGACCTCTCTTTCAATTACAGTTATATGGGTGGCATTACTGTATGGTGCAAGAACAACGTATTCTTTGCCTGTTCTTATATTTTTACCTCTCATCTATCCTTCTGTTACACAGTTATATGCGTGAATTTACTGCATGGTGTAAGAACACGTATTCTTTGCTTGTTCTTAAGTTTTTTTTTTTACGTGGACTTTGCTAAGAGGAAGAACAAAATCATTTTGGGTATTAATCTATTTATATTTTGACATGTTTTTGTTCACTTCAGATGTCAAAGGGACATGCAGATCGCATGTTATGATTTCACTGTAAAAGTAAAATATCTGATGGTTTGGTATACGTCCAGGATACTCCTACCTCATTTGGCTTTAAAATATATATATCTGGATTCATGTATTCCATTAACTGTTTTGGAACAATACCTATCCTTTTTCCAGACATTAAGTATATTCAAATGCATTCAGATTTCAGACATTCACACACCTCATTATTCTCATTACAAATATCCTTTTGCAAACATCAGCTTTAGAATGTATTTAAAATTTTCATATCTGTAATTACGTCTGGATTGAGGTACTAGCATAACCATGAGATAGCTTATAACGAAGTTTATAGAATATATCTAGCATAATTGCATAAACTACCATCAATATTTTCCGAACAATGTCCCTTTAAACGTATTCAGATTTGTGACTCTTAAGAACCTCATCGATGTTATTGGATGTTTAACCGATCATTTCAACCAGGGGTTCTCAATCGGGGGATCACGGGGCACTTTCTGGGGGGTCATGGAGCAATATGAAAATTATGACGTCGAATTAAACTGAATTCCATATCGCCTATGATACATACATATAATAATCTATCACATATCAATAAATTGGAATCTTTGTCCTCTAGCTATTGACGCCATCATACTCTTCATAACAAGTAATAACTGTATCTGAAAAGATGGCAGACAGCGAACAGGCCATGGAGATTATTACATATTGGTCGGGATAAAAAAAAAAAGTTGGGAACCACTGAATTAGAATGTATACTTCCATGTCTCTGGGTATACATCGTCTATGGTATACTATACTCTTTAAACAACTTTAGTTTTATTTAGACATCAGATATAAAAAGAACATCG